TCAAAGTTTTTTGCAAACTTTTATTTTCAAAATTTAAATCAAAAACACAACACAACTTTCTTTAACAAAAAAAAATTTTTTTCAGTAAATGAACAGTTCAAAAATTGGTTGGCAGAACTATCCGAAGCGGATGTATTAGATGCTTTGAAATTCTTTTCTAAAAAACTTGGGGAATTTAAGCTATTTTTAATTCAATTTTTCTAGATTTTAATACAGAATTAATTCGAAATTGATGTATTTTATAAAAATAATTGCTTCAATCTCAATTTTAGAATGAAATAAAGCAATATGTGATATTTTCAATCGATTTGGCTCAATTTTAAGTTAGGAATCAACCTGATACCAAATACTGGCTTGAATAGGAAGTTCAAGCCAAAATAAAGCAATTTTAGCTATTTTCAATTCAATTTTCCCTAAGTTTTGCATCTATTTTCTCACTCTATTATCTAGTAACATGTAAGAAAACCCTATATTGTTTGACAAAATGCTTATAAAATAAATTTTTGAATTCAAGTTATTTCATATAATAAAAAAGATTCAAAATCTAACAAATTTTTATTTTCAAAGTTTATTGTGAAATGCTAAACCACCAATTTAGTCAAATATGACTTAAAAAATTGTTAATAACAAAATGAAATGTAATTTATGTAAAATATTACTGTAATTTTATAATATTTTGATTGATCATCTATCAAAAGATTTTTGGAAAGTAGAAAAGTGGATTGTCAGTCTCCAGCTTCCGGCCTCTGTTCCCGTGTGATTAATTGAAACAATTAATTATAGAAATAGCCAGTTTTTTGCGCAATAATAAATAAAAGTGACCTTCCAAGGCAGACCGCTTATAAAAATTGTGAACGGATCTCGATTGTAGTTTAGATTAAAAAAAATGTAAAATATTTTCCCCATTATAGTGGCAGTAGCCGGTTCTTATTAAACAACCACTACCCATTGTTCCATGCACCCATGAATCATCACTTGGCCGTTGTTATCCACGTGTTGGCCAATGCTGGCATTCAATTTAATGGACTATTATTTCTGTTTTTATGTCAGGATCAGGCAAGACGTATCCATGTATAGACACAATAAGAATCAATTTGTGCAGAAGAAGTGCAACGTCCAAGTGCAACAACCTGGAGAAAAAAAAATCCAATCTTCCTCAAGATTCGCGATTTAATTGATTATCTAAACAGCAAACACTTGCAAAAACGCAAGTCCGGAAATTGAATTGTCGTTTTTTTTTCACGTTCAATCACGAAAGTGTACACCTGTCGCAAAACACGCATTCACATTTTTACTTTTTAACTATTAAAATAAATAAAATAAATCAACTAAATTCCAATTGTGATGTCGACCTTCGGCTCGGCCTCATTAGGATACAAATGCTCCTCCAGCCTCCAACATCGATACCACTTGAACAATAATCAAACAAAAAGCAACAATCTCGTAAAAAATCTGCAGCAGCTGCAAACTGTTAAATTATTGTTCTAGCCTTGAATTTCTTCGTCTCAAATACGCAAATGTCAGATGCTGGACTCAATTATGAATTCTTCTAATTTGTCGATAAGTGTCAACGTAAATTCCCCAAACTTGAAAGAATGCCACAAATCTCCCCTTATCTAAGTCATAATAGAAATTTATGTGTCCTCCCCTTTCAACCCCACAAAGACCGATAAACTTGCGGAAGGGTGGTTTTGAAAAACGAGTCGGGATTATGCGTCTTGCATTTAAATGGCCAGTCTCGAGAAATTTATGCAGAGGGTTTGTTTCCGAGAAAAGTGCGATTAACGAGACAGGTAGAAGAGACGTTTTCAACATTATTTTAGTCGAGATAAAAATGTGCAAAAATTTATTACCTGTTTGGAGGGCTTCTTATTGCAAGTCGTTACGCTTCATTAAGATCATGGGCTTCTTTATATGCAGGCTACCGGAGCGAAAAATATAAAATTTCAGCTGATTATTCAGCGATGTTCGCCATGTGTTTCTTGTTTGATTTTACGACGGGTACTTTGGGTTTTATAAAGTCGCTGCTTGTGTAATAAAAATTCGATGTGATTGACGACTGGCGCCGAAATATCTCTCAAGAGGAGAAGACACTTTTTGCCACGAAAAAAATACGAAACTGCATAACAGGTTATTGAATTTCGAATTATTTTTCTAAGCTAAAGATAGAAACTAAGGGCAAGTTTCACAATCGAATTAAAGGGAGTTTAAAATTAATGTTGGTTTAGAATGTGCTGATTACTACAGACTTGTCGACAAAAATTTAGCATTCTAAAGCAATATTAATTCTGAAGTCCCTTTATTCGATTATGAAACTGGCCCTTAGTCGTTTTTTTGAAATTGAATTCTGAACAAGGTTTTTGACACACACTTTACCTAAATACTTATTATTTCATATATTTTTAAATTTATATATTCTCAAAAAAATTTGAGAACTCGGGAAAATTATCCAATAACTGTTTTGAGTGTTTCATCAAAGGAAAACGCCTTTTCTTGAGATGGTTTTATTTTCTCAGTTTTCTTTTAATTATTTCCTTTTTTCAAATAAACATATACGCATTTTTTCAAGCTGCAGTTTTAGTTTAAATGTTTTGATAACTTTCTGTTTATCGAATTTTGAAAATAAAAAAACATTTCGTTTACTACATTTCTTTCAATCATTTTTATTATGAAAAGTGTTAATTTTTTGGAAGAAAGTCAAATAAAAATCAAAAAAGAGCTATTTTGACGCAATTTCAAATAATATTTCAAACGTTTTCGATTATTGTAAATGATTAAATATTTTAAATTAAATTGAATTAAATTAAATTGTGATCATTAGTATTTTCTAGAAAATCGTGTTTATTAGTGTTTTTAACAATGGAAAGCATCCCAAAGTCTTATTTTCAGTGGCATTTCAATAGAAAGTCTTTTATGCCTCCAAAGTGTGGCCAAATTTCCTTGAAAAAAAATTTAAGACCTTCATAAGAAGTACAAATTTTGCGGCAAAATATTTTTTTACATTTGACCATCTTCTTATTTCAAGTTACTATGGATGGTCTAAGAAAAATCGAATTTAGATCATAGTTGAACTTAAAAATAAGATGTTATGTCTTTCCACAAGACAGTAATGGAACATTTTTGGGCCATTTTCTTGCAAGAAGTAAATTTTTCAAAGTATACACTTTATAATACTTTACTCGTATAAATGCACTGTCCAATTAGTTAAATACGAAGAGCCGTTAACTTGAAATAGATCCAGTAGTTAAAAAAAAAGATCCAGTAACTAGAAAAATTTTAGTAATTTATAAATAATTCTAATAATTCAATTTCAGTAACTCTATTATTTGGTCGTAATTCCACTGTTTTTAGATTAATTCGTATAATTTTATTTAATTTTTATATTTACAACTTAATTTCAACTTAATCATTCCAGCAATTCAATTTTTTTTTTAGTGATTTCAATTCCAGAAATTTACAAATAACTCCGATAAGTAATTAAAAAAAAATTCTACCGAAATGTTTCAGTAATTCTATTGATTTCGGATTAATTCCTATAATTCTAAATTAATTCCAACATAATTTCCGTAGTTCCAACTTAATTTTCATAATATCAAAATAATTTCTGTAATTCCAAATTAATTACGATACTTCTAAGATATTCAACGTATTTATGTAATCCCGGTAATTCAATTCTAATAATTCTATTAATCCATTGTTTTCAGATTAATTCAATTCATACAATTTTAAATTAATTCCTGTAATTCCAAATTACTTTTCGTAATTCTAAAATAATTCCTATAATTTCAAATTATTTCTGCTAGTTTTAAGAAATTATCTCCGAAAACTCGCAAAAAAATTCAAGAAAAATTCCACTAATTCACAAGTAGGTAGTTAGACAATCTAATACCTAATAATTTTAATAATTCCATAAACGTCTAAATAATTCCAAGCAATTACGATTAAATTCCAAAAATTTGTACAACTAATTAAAGAGTTAACGGCCCCTCGGTTAAATATTTTCTTTTCTTCAGTATACATGTGTAATTGTTGTTTTTTTTATTGAGGTCCCTGAAGTCGCAAAATGTTTGAGCGTTGAGGTAATTGTGGATTTAAATGACTACAAATCCTTTAGATTAGTTTATTGCTTCGACATTGACCATATGTCCACCAATCCGCCTATGAACAATTGCACACAACAAATTTGACGTAATAACATATTATTCTTGCTATTATTTCACTACAAGAATCCTTCCATTCTTCCCTCCCTTTCACGGATAGTTACCCATCATTAGTACCATCCATACAATGTACAGGTGTTTTTGGTAGAGCCATTTACCATTGATTCCTGTTATTACCATCCTTTAAGATCTCACATACCATTCCGTGCAAAAATCTCTGGTAAATTACGAAAATATAACAGCAGCAATTAACACAATTAGACGCGATAAGTGAAGTGCACAGTAGCAAGTTTCATTTCTTCGTCTCATAAAAATCCCTTTCAATAAAAGTGGCCACGAGCCACGTCATCCAATTAGTCCTAATTAAGCTCATCGCTATTTTCGTTCCAACAAATCACGAAACATAAAGCTATAACCCACACACTAACCCATGTTAACCCCCTAGCCATCAGTGAAAAGCTCCAACAAGTGGGAGGAGCGGTCGGCCATCTCCGGCCATCGCCGCTGTTCTAACCACTTGTTGGTTCAAACAAATTCAAAAGTCAGTCGCGCTCGACGGTTTCCGCGGATGGTTGGTGCCGAATTGCAGCGATTTGTTTACGTTTTTCCTTTCCAAATGGGTGATTTGTGATGTGGATTTTCGTGATGTGGCCTCGGACCGTTCTTATGGATTATATTTTTCTCCTCGCTCTGATCGGATTTTGTGGAGGCGCCATCATGGGAGACGAGTGCGACTGGACCGGGAGGTAAGAGGCCAATTGTCGCACATGTGTGATTTTTTGCGTGGGATCGAGATTTTCGCCGAAAGTGGGCAGAAAATAAGTGATCCGTAAAGAGAGGCTGCGTGTTTGTCTCAGCACGAGCCGTGGGCTACGTAGCCAATGACATGTAAATTATATGAACCAGTCCTGGTGCTGTAATATGATGATTATTATTCAAGTGCATGCGGAGCGAGGCTGCGGCCAGAGGCGGCGCGAACATTATCTACCGGGAAAAAGGAAAAGTTACGCGGATGCCAACACGATTTTGGCTTTTTTCGACCAGATTAAGGCATTTTTTTAAGTTGACGAAAACTATTTCTCTAACAAAGGGTGAAAAAAGGAAGTGAACTAATTTATCTATTTGGAAAATTTATTATTGTGCATAATTAAGGCAGTTCTTGGGATTGCGACTAATGAATCAGCAGATGGCTGATTTTCAGGACAGTTTTTACAGTCATTACATATAATTGTTACAAATCTATCTAATGAATAAGAATACGGTATTTCGAAACATATTGAAAATTACAGAAATAAGTTTCATTTTGTTCATTTTATAAAAAAGTGACTATGTTTACAAAACTATATTTCTTCCAACTATTATTGGGAATTTTATAATAAAACAATAGTTCTTCAAATTGTTTGACAAAATAACCTATTTTAA